TTTATTTAACATGCTTCGGAATGTCCAATTTGGGCCAAATATGCACCGTTTTGTTTACATAAGCTGTGTTCCCAAACTTGCAATATAGTACTATATTGTACTAGTTTTGCAGTTATTGCTAGAAAAGCGTTCCCTTACGCCAAAAACTAGGAAACATTTAAGTTAAATTTAAGAGAGTTGAAATCAAAATGGCGTTCTCTTCTCCTATTTTCTGCAAGACCAATTTGGCCTAGTACGAAATAGTAAATGTAGTAAATTATGAATTTGACAATTCATTTCCAGAGCTATACAGTTCGAAATAAACCATATGCAAGTTAGCGCTTCAACAAACAAGACACACGCACACACACACACATATTTGCTTAAAAAACAAAAGAATTAAGAATGAAGAAGCAGTTCTTTATTCACTTTCGGAGGATTCATCTATCGAAGATGAATAGCGTGCAGAAGATTCAGATGAAATTTTTTACTCAGAAATTGTAAAATGGACGCCTTTTAACTTATATGTTTCTTTGTGTGCATTAGGTTTCTGTAGTCCGTTTTTTGTCATTAACTGATGAAATTTTTCTTCATGTTTTCACTATTTTTCGTTCCTATACTTTTTGCGCAAATCTTGTATGTGAAAGCCATTTTTGATAGTTCGCTCTTTTACTAGCTTTACTATCAAAAAGTACGGGAACGAACCTATAATTATTGTAATTATAAACCTTCATAAAGCCTCTCTCATAGAAGTCCTGCTGTCTATTTGCAAAAAAACTGTAGTAGTCTATTTTCACAATCCTCCCTAGATAAGAAATTTGTTATCATTAAAGAAATGTTGCAATGCAAGAAAAATATGATAATCGTTTGGTACCAAGTTCGGACTGTATGGCGGATGCATTAAAACTTCCCAACCATGCTCCCGAAGTTTCTTGCGAGTCACTGTAGATGTGTGTAGCCTGGCGTTGTCCTGGTGGAATACGACTCTGCTGTTGGCCAATTCTGGCCGCTTCTGGTCAATTGCTATCTTCTAACGGTCCAGTTGTTGATAGTAGAGATCAGAATGTAGCGTTTGGCCATATGGAAGCAACTCATAATAAATAATCCCCTTCCAGTCCCACCAAATACATAACAGAACCTTCTGGCCGTCAGTAAGGTACTGTCACATTGAAGACCTTCAACAGTTTTTAGTTAAAAACTCTTCAAAGACCCCCCTAGATGTATTTAATGTGTTGAAAGACATTCATTTCCCCTAACGGAATGTATATAAGTAAACAAGCAAGAGCTGTAAATGGTCAAATTGACTCTTTCAAAGACTGCAGTATTTCTCAGTACTTATAGTGAAGACACGATATCAATATCTTGAATGGTCTGAAGGTTAAAAACCCATCGATAGATAAATACCATCAGCTTACGACGATATTGTACGTTTGTCCTTTTTAAAAATCTCGACGATTTTGTGGAGAAGAACGACCCACCAAAGCAAAAAGGAAATGACTTCGGACAATTGGGGTCTGATAACGATATTTCGATGAGACACATTTTTTGTTAAATATGTAAATTCCCTCATTAGCATTAAGGCTGAGGTATGGGAATCTTATTATAACACAGCCCTATTTGACCATATATTAGGTTGGGGAAAAAGAAATCCATTATTTTTTCGCTATATGGCTGTACTTATAGATTTCTCGTAAAGTATCGTTGACATTTCGCAGTAAAAAAATATTTTGCTGTTATTTGTTTGGCGCATTCAGTTGTGAGTTACAAGGTGTTATAAATGGAAGTGAATAAAGAGAAAATTCGGTACATTTTACAGTTTTTCTTTGACAAAGGCGAAAATGCAATCCCAGCGGCTAAAATTTTGATGTTACAAGTAGGCCAGTCGTCAAAAATGTTGATAAAATCGTAGAAATGATCGAAGCTGACCGGCATGTTAGCAGTCGTATCATCGCCAAGGAGCTAATAATCGAAATGAATAGATTTTTTCCATTTTAGAAATCGAAATTTTACTATATACAATTGAAATAGCTTACAACGACGGTCAGTGGACAGATAAAAAAAAAAATACCAGAACGTTTTCCGGTACATTTAGATTTTATAATTCTAATGGATATTATCAAATTTTCCAGATCCAAAACTATATTATACTACAAAATGATATAAATCGGAGACAATAGATTATTACTGACATCAATACAAGCTTATGTCTGAAACGGCGCCCAACTACAGGTCATTTGAATTAAAAACATCGTAAGCATTACAAGGACAAGGCGTGGATTTTTTTAAGAAAAAATTTTCAAGACCACTACTAGGCGTGCATTTTTTATAGAATATGTTTTCAAGACCACTACTAGGCGTGCATTTTTTATAGAATATGTTTTCAAGAGCACTACAGGCCTTGGATGTTTTTAGTATATTTTTTGTTGGCGCCCAAGACGTGGATTGCTTAAAGAATGTTTGAGACAGCGCCCAACTACAGATCATTTGAATTAAAATTATATTGATTTTATACGCAGTTATTATATTTTACGGTTCGTAAACATTACTATTCAACAAATTTATTTATAGTAGAACATGAAATAGCGAGGATTTTTAAAAAATATATTTTTTCAAGACCATTACAAAAGTGGGTTTTTATAGAAGACTACTACAAGGCGTATATTTTTTATAGAATATTATTTATGGTCCACTACAAGGCGTATATTTTTTATAGAATTTGTTTTTATGGACCACTACAAGGTGTAGATCTTTTATAGAATATTTTTTGCTGTAAGTGGCGCCCAACTGCTGGTCATTTGAATTAAAAATATTTATTATATTTTGGGGATCGTACAAATTACAACTCAACAAAATGTATTTATAGTAGAATTAGGGCGAATTATTTCACTCTGACATATAATATTTATCGATCGATGGTAACCTAATTTCCTCCCCTCGACTTTCCTTTTAAAATGCAAAATCATCACTTCTCTAACAAGCTATGAATGAAATAGTATTAACTGCAGGGGAACCTCCAGAAAAGCGTTTCCGCCTTTATTTTCGGTAAAGTATCAGTTTTCAAAAACAAATTCAAATCTTCTATTTTCGATATTTTCTTTGAGGTTGTTGCCAAATGTTTTTTTTTTTTCTTAACCAAAATACACAAATATTAGATTTCCCTTCGACTACAAAATACTTGAAAAAAAAGTTTTAAAGAGGGGAAAAAACACGCACACACAAATTGGCCGCGAATGTATTAATGTTCAGTGAAACCTTTCATCTGTGATGAACTTTTTTCTACCCGATGCGCCATGGATTTTCCGACATTTCCGTCAACGGTTTATGTCAAATGGTGTTGTATTTTTTTCATTCAATATTTTTTTTTTTTTTGTTTTTCAACATAAGTGGAAAAACTATAAATTTGTTTTTGAGTTTTCGTTTTGTATGATTTCATGACGCAATTATGCGTATCTTTTGTTGTGTGTATGTTTGTGTAACCACTTCAAATATTATGTAAAAATATTTAATTTGTGAATGTGTGTGTGTGTGTTTTATGAATAATGGAATATGAATTTGAATATTTGATTTAAAAACAGACTATATGCACTTGTTAGAAGGTGGAAGTACTTCCGAAATATCTGAAAAATTCAAATATCCCTTCGAAGGAAATAGGAAATCTTGGCTTATCATTTTGGCCTTTGTTCGTGACCTTGAGTTTTATTTTTAAGTAGGGCAATCTGGAAGTGGATTTTTTGAAGAACATGTGGTTCTTTAAACATTTTGTAATTAGTGTTAATGGAGACATTTTACGTTATTTAAAAAAACATAAAATATGAAATGGATTTTTTTAAAAAAATTTTTCAGGAAAATTTTTTTCAGCGACCCGTGGATTTCAGGGGCCACTACAAAGCGTGGATTTTTAAAAAATATTTTTTTCAGAGGCCACTACTATGCGTGGGTATTTTAAAGAACATTTTTTAAGGGTCACTATAAGGCGTGGATTTTTTAAAGAATATTTTTTTCAAGGGCCACTATAAGGCATGGATTTTTTAAAGAATATTATTTTTAGGGGCCACTACAAGGCGTGGATTTTTTAAAGAATATTTTTTCAGGGGCCACTACAAGGCGTGCATTTTTTAAAGAATATTTTTTCAGAGGCCACTACAAGGCGTGGATTTTTATAGAAAATTTTTCAGAGGCCACTACAAGGCGTGGATTTTTTAAAGAAAATTTTTCAAAGGCGTGGATTTTTTTAAAGAATATTTTTTCAGGGGCCACTACAAGGCGTGGATTTTTTAAAGAATATTTTTTCAGGGGCCACTACAAGGCGTGGATTTTTTAAAGAATATTTTTTCAGGGGCCACTACAAGGCGTGGATTTTTTAAAGAAAATTTTTCAAAGGCGTGGATTTTTTAAAGAAAATTTTTCAAAGGCGTGGATTTTTTAAAGAAAATTTTTCAAAGGCGTGGATTTTTTAAAGAAAATTTTTCAAAGGCCACTACAAGGCGTGGATTTTTTAAAGAAAATTTTTCAAAGGCGTGGATTTTTTAAAGAATATTTTTTCAGGGGCCACTACAAGGCGTGGATTTTTTAAAGAATATTTTTTCAGGGGCCACTACAAGGCGTGGATTTTTTAAAGAATATTTTTTCAGGGGCCACTACAAGGCGTGGGTTTTTTAAAGAATATTTTTTCAGGGGCCACTACAAGGCGTGGATTTTTTAAAGAATATTTTTTCAGGGGCCACTACAAGGCGTGGATTTTTTAAAGAATATTTTTTCAGGGGCCACTACAAGGCGTGGATTTTTTAAAGAATATTTTTTCAGGGGCCACTACAAGGCGTGGATTTTTTAAAGAATATTTTTTCAGGGGCCACTACAAGGCGTGGATTTTTTAAAGAATATTTTTTCAGGGGCCACTACAAGGCGTGGATTTTTTAAAGAATATTTTTTCAGGGGCCACTACAAGGCGTGGATTTTTTAAAGAATATTTTTTTCAAGGATCGCATTTTTTAAAGATTATATTTTATGGACTTATTACTCACCAGCCAATGTTATTCCCATATTTGTGGTGTTATCACGCGGTAATGTTATTGTAGCATATGTTGTGCCTCTTTCGGGAGCTAATCCCGAATCTTCTGACTGAGCTGGACTCATGGCACGATCGACTGCAATCCAAAACGGCGAACAAATGAAATGAAACATAAAAAGAACAAAAATACAAAACACAATGAATAAATTAAATGAATTAATACAAGGTGCAAAGAATATTAAAAATAATTGTATTAGCATTAAAATTAAAAAAAGACTGTGGAAAATAAAACCATAAATCGACACAACTTATTTTAAAATATGTACAAATATAGGTTAATTACATACAAACAATTGTGGAATATTGACATATGGCACATAACGATAAAGTATTTCATTAATTGGAAATTATACGATTTTCACAAACAATGTTTAATCTATATAACGCCTCAATTGTTGCCCCACACACCCTTCAACACAAAATCAATGTGAATTTTCATTTAATTTTTGCTCCCATATCCTTCCCATCAAATTCCCAATAATATTGCTTGTTTGTTCAGTGCATTTCATTATCCATAATTGAAAATATACAGTGTCATAAAAATACGTTGTTTTACGACTTATCCTAGGGAAATCTGTTTGTTGTGTGATAATACCGAACCAAAAACATCAACATAGTTGGGTGGCTTTGTTTGTTTTCACTTTTCGCTTTTTATGAGGTGACAAAAAGGATATAAAATTTCCACATCGATAACATCAATGGCCAAGTGAGCCACATCAAAGTTTTTAGGGCAGCGCAGCCACAATGTTGTTCTAATGTGTTTTTATAGCTCAAGGGATAGGGATGTGGGTGGAGAAAATTAAAAAAAATCATACTTCTGAGGAATAATTTCAACATTATTCGAACAATAACATAACATAATAACATTCGAATATAAGCAAGCGTCGATATTTTACAAAAAATATTTTTAAGGACCTTCATAAGGGTAAGGACCTTCGACAGCCTGTTTTTTAATAATTTTTCATAAGCTTTCTCCGAGCGTAGATCTGTTTTAAATATGTTTTTAAGTGGTATTCTTCCAGCGTTGATTTTTATACCCTCGATTTTGTCATCTTCGTCTGTGTGTTGAAATTTCGATATTTAAGATAGAGCTTTGAAATTTTGTTCATAAATTGTTAATACTCCCAGAAATACTTTGTACTGAAAATATGATATATCGATCCAGGTTTTGATTCTCATTATTTGGCATTTTTGGGATTCTAAACATACTTTCCGAAGGGTTACTAAATGGGTTAACATCCTGTGTCACAGAGAAAATAGGGGAATTAGTCTCCTTCCCATCGCATAAAAAGTGCTATTCAGTGGGCTGGGTGAACGACTGAAGCCACGGCCAATGATATTATTGGATCTTACCAATGCGGCTTCAGACCTGGTAATTTCACCATAAACCAGATTTTCACACTGCGGAAAAGGCTTACGAAAAACATATCGACATATTCCACTAATCCTCTACCATAAAGCAGCATTCAACACCCCTATCCGCTCAGAGGTTTATAAAGCCATGTCTGCGTTTGGCATTCCTGCAAAATTAATACGACTATGCAGGATATTTTTATCGGGTACAAGATCTGCAGTTAAAGACGGAAAGCGCCTCTCGGAGCCTTTCTATACCGAACAAGACAGTCATGTGACCTGTTTAATATCCTGCTGGAAAAGGTCATACGAGATGCAAATGTAAACAGAAATGTTACTCGCCTATGCCGACGGCATCGACATAACATTGCGAGCAGCAACAGCCACCTTTGAACGAATTGAGAAGGAGTCTGCCAAAAAGGAACTGACAGTAAATGGCGAGAAGGTCTGATGACATCAACGCGCAAGACGTCCAACAGATGGTACTACGATCTGAGTAAGCAATTCAAAAAAAGACCACCTCTCGCCAGACCACCTCTCGCCAGACCAACACACTCACACTCTACAAGACGCTGATACTACCCGTGCTGTTGTATGGATCTGAAACATGGGTACTTGCGCAAGCAGATGATGCAGCTCTTTGAGTATTTGAGAGAAAAATTCTCCGAAAGATCTAAGACCATATGCTGTACCATATATTCTTGAAAATGGACATAGTCAAACGTACCGAGCTGCAGCTACTACGTTGGTTAGTTCTATCCTTTCACACATAATTAAGTTTTACAAAATATAGTACACACAAGTACTATACTTCGATATCTGAATTCTATACTCCAACAACAACCATTATTTCATATTTTAGGTTACTAGCTCTCTCCGTTCGTCCAAATCTAAATGGTACTAAATTTAGTACTTTTCGTACTCATAAGTACGCAATTTTAAGACTCCAGCTGTATCTATTCACCTAAATCCAACTTGTACCATAATAAGTACCATTTAGTACTTTTGTACACATATGTACGATTTTTTTAAACGACCTCTGCATAGAATAAACTTTCTGAAATTGGGAAAAATCGGTTCAAATTTAGATATAGCTTCCATATATATTTTCGTCCGATTTAATGTTCACCAAAGTCCCTATATATCTTTCGATTTCCACGAAATTTGGCATAGCGTACAGAAATGAGCCTAGAGAGATGTCTGCCAAGTTTCGAGAAAATCGGTCCTGATTTAGATAAAGCTCCCATATAAAGTTTCGTTTGGCAGAGCGTTCTGTATTAAGTGCAGAATGATGTTTGCTGAAAATCGGTTCAGATTTAGATTTCATTCAGGCCTAATGAATTAGGCCTAGAAAGATGTGTGCTGAGTTTCAGGAAAATCGGTTCATATTTAGATATAGCTCCCATATTCTGTGTAGTCCGATTTTATGTAAATGTCCCTACATGTCATTAGGTCTAGAATAATGTGTGTTAAGTTTCGTGAAAATCGGTTCAGATATAGCTCCCATATATATTTTTTGGTCCAATTTAAGGTAAATGGTGTACCAAAGTCCCTTAATATTTTTCGGTTTGCACGAAATTTGGCACAGCGCAATGAATTAGGTCTGGAATGATGTGTGTTAAATTTCCTGAAATCTTTGAAATCGTTTAAGATTTAGATATAGCTTCTTTATCTGACCAAATGAAAAAATTAGTATAGGTTGCAGAATGACATGTTTATGGATCCAATTTCATTTTGCTGGTCCTTTAAAATGCGACGTCTGTTAGGATTCATCTGTTGAATATACCCAAAGTGGTGAAGGGTATCATATAGTCGGCCCCGTCCGACTTTACTACTTTCCCTACTGGTTTTATAATTTATCTAATAGTTTTTCATAAACCTTTCTACGATGGCGCCTGAAACTAAAAGAAAAAACTCTCTTCTTTGCAATTAATTTCGAAAATGTTTTATTTGCCACAATTGTTTTTCAAAATTAGCCAAGTAGCTGCCAAAAACTTGCAACATATTTTTGTATTTATTTAATTTATTTAACACCCGCTACTGCTTATTTAAAATTGTGTATTAAGACCGTAACAAAATGAAGACAAACGCCACAGTCGCAAAACTGCACAACATCAAAGTGAAATATACCTATGAAAATGTACGCATCGTTATGTATGCACGGTATTGCATTGTGAGCTACGAAATGGACAGGCAGATATATACAAATGTAACGTGCCTGACGACATAGTTTCTTTTTTCTGGTAGTTTGCATGGTATTCTTCTTCAACATATAAAATACAAATGTTGCACTCTTGGAGTTTTCTTTTTTGGGTACCTACACAAATGGTAGCAATCTTCCATTCAACTCTTTACATAATATTATTCCAACCACAATGTAGTATGACCAATTTCTGTTGTTGCGGCAATAATTTACATGGAAGATCTTGCTTTGAAGATAACCAAAAGTACTCGTATAAGATAATCAGTCACCACACAGTCGGCCAGCCAACCATTCATCCCACACACAAAAGAAGTCAAAAATGAGACTACCTGGAATTGTATGGACACACACACCACGGGTGGACATTAGCACTTTTTTGGTTTGGTAAATAATACCAACTGCAGGGAGTTCTGAATTTTCACAGAGAGATGTTAAAAAATGCCAGATGTATTTGTATACCATGACAATGTTCCTGTGGAGTTCTTGTATTTGATGTTGTTGTACTTGGGTTATGTAAATTATACAGAAGCCAAATTATGACAAATTAGAAGTGCACCGAAATTAGACAACAGAAAGGGGAATGATATTTATCAAGGGGACTTGGAGGTTCACAAATATCATTTAAGAAACAAAAATTAGGTCGTGGTGACGATTTCTTTGCGATATTAGAAATTATGGATATTTAAATAAAGTAAGAACAAAAATTATTCAGATCTAAGATCCATATATGAAATTGGCAGGAATCTGTATATACAGTATTTCACTAAATTAATACAAAAAAAAAAAACAAATATAAACGTCATTTAGCTCGGTGAGACGGGATTTTTTAATAAAATCCACGGTGAGTTGGACAAAAATCGATAAGGACTTTTAGTTGCCATGAAAAATTGCTGCCAGGTGAAAAAGAAATACCGAACAACATACGCCCATTGGGGAAAATTTGGGGTAAGGCCTTGAACATATCATTCACATATCCATATTGATTTTATTTTTGGTAGGGAGATTATTATAATTCCAAATTAGAGCTAATTAGTTTGAAAACCTTTATATGAGAGCTATGCCACAACGAGGACCGATATTACGAGCTACAGATAAATCGACATATAATTTTATACTGATCAGGCATATACATATACTTCATAGGGTCTCCAAAGAATATTTCGATGTGCAATGGGCAAGGGGCTATAAAAAGTAGAACAATTCGGCAGTCTGATCTTGCTATACCCTTCACAATTTGGAGAGCATTCAAAATTCCATAAATCGGTCGGAACCTTTATATTGGGAATATGACATTGTAAACTCTCTGCTAGTATTTTTTTAATTTTTTGAGAAATGGTCAGACACTAGGTTTGGAAAACTGGCCTACGAACTGCAATGTACCGACTTTTAAAGCGTTCTTTATGTGCAAGTTATGTAAATACTCATACGTACTGCAAATTTTATGGCAAAATTTTGATATGGACAAAGTTTCTTATTCATCAGGAATTTGGAATGCCAAATAACAACCACTTCGGTTGGAA